TCTTAGATTAAATGTAAGGTGAATTGCCTTGCATCAATTATAAATAAATTTCAGTTGGGCACATGTTGGTTGTTCAGTGATGACAACTCATAAAACATTTGGCTAAACATGTGTGCTGTGGAGGACTAGTCATGAATTATCCTGCTGCTTCACAGATCGCCACACACCACACACTGAAGTCGAAGCATCCAGTAGCTAACTTCAAGGTGGAGCTGAAAAACAAGCGTTAAAAATGATTTCAGTTGGAATAGATGTGCTATACAAAGCTTTTACTCTCAAAAGATGAATTCTAGACATTAGCTTTTAAATATCAAACACAAGAGTCTGATAACCAACAGAGGTTTATATACCCAGTGCAAGTATTTGTTACTTCATCTATACCATGAAAAGGCTAAAGAAAATCCCTTTCCCTATTGGGGCTGGAGGGAGGGTGTGAAGTAGGCAGTGGGGGAAGAAGGAAAGAAAGAAAGAAAGCAGGAGGACTGTGATCTGTGATGGGTGTGAAGGACCTCTCCCTACTTCATCTTTCATTTGAAATCCTAGGAGGTCACTGGAGTGGAGAATAGGACTCAAATTCCAGAACCAGAGGCGGTTCCCCCCCAGCTGCTCCTTAACTTGGAAGTGCATCATGAAAGTGTGGCCTAGGAGAGAGCTAATGAGTAGCCTCCATGAGTAGGCGCTATGAAAAGAAAGCTGGCCTCCAGTTAAACCTGCACCAGCAGAGGACACGCGGTGGGGAACAGGTCAGCCTACCTGCCCCTGCGGAGAGAGAAGAGGAAAACTGAATTCAAATTCTTATAGCAAAGAATGAAGCTGCAATGTTGCAAGATTTTTTTAAAAGTTTGTATTTTCTCCAACTATCAGGAAGTATAATTTAAAATGCAATTCAACAGCAAATCAAATCCAGTTACATACAATAAAGAAAATTACATCTGTATATATTTGAGTCTGGAAATCATGACTAGAGAAAAATGTTGAGATAGAAAGTTGTCTATGAAGAATAATTATTATTAAAATATTTTAATATAGTATAACATACCCAATCCTAAATTTAAATTTGTAGTAATCAAAACCTCTCTATCTACAAATCTGGAAAGGAAACCTGAAGAATTTGGAGCTGTGACTCTTCCTTCTACTTTCTTTCAGTAGAAATATGTGTTACATCTTTAGGGACTAATCCAGAAAGAATAGTGTATCAGTCATAAAACTTTTTGCTCGTTTTAGCTTATCGTGTAGCCAGTGCGGTCTGTGACCTTTTTACAAACTAGAATTTAACTTTCAGACACCCAAATGTACTCTATTCCACTTCTCTTCTGTGCCCCAGTAATCTCACTTACCAGGACCTTTCCCCTCTGGTACCATTTTCCAGCTGTTTAATAATCCCCTTAACTTCCTTGACCCCACATTACAGAGTTTCATCATGAGTATTTCAATTTTGAAACTATGCTTCAGCAATATCTGGTAGCAGGAATGTAATTTTTTCATAAAACTGTAATATATCAGATATCTGCTTTAAGGTGTACCAAACATTAAAACTCACTCTTTTCTTTTAGTTAATAACAATGTCTGAAATGGCCTTGCCATTAAGAACTGAAATAATATAAGTGCACTTTTTGGTATGAAATTTCTAACATGGGTTTGTTAGATGAAATAAATCATATATCTGTATAAATGTATTCACATGCACTTACACATATTACACATATGATAAAAAATATAAAACAGGAAAAAAGAGAGGGTGCTACCTGCATTCGTCATCAAGAAATGCTGATACTATTTATGTGAAGAATTTGTAGGATGAAGAAAGTGCACGGCTTTGCAGTTTTAATTTATTTTTCAGACAGAAGGATAATTGTGCTCTCTCGGCAAGTAAATCTCAGTCTTAGTTGAGTTACAGGCACATACTGACAGCAAAACCTGAACAGCTGAATCCAGGCCATCTAAATGATAACAAAGACATCTGAACAAGAAACTATTAAGTTCAAAGATTTGAGAAAACTAACATGGCAGTGTGCTGGCTCAAACATGCAATCAAATCCATGAGCTTCCACAAAACACAATTTCTTGGTTGTTTCTTGACTATTTTTCATACTGATAGATGTTTTGCCCTTAGGGTGCACCACTTTGCACATAAAGAATGATTCTGCTTTGTTTCCATTAGTTTGAAAGACAAGATAGTGACACCGTGCCGAACAGAGTCCAGCACGCCTGCTGCTTGCAGAACAAACTCCCTTTTAAAAGGCATATTCTGATGATAAAGAAACAGAGATGATATTTTTTGGTGCCTGCATTTGTGATCCCTGCAGTAGAGGGGAAAGATTTTCATTGTGTCCCCTGAATACCAATGAAGTATTGGAAGGCAATGACATTCTAATCACTGCTTCAAATGTCAGCGCAAGGATGCTGTGGGTAACGGCCCTAGTACATAAGTTAACGGCTTTACTGTAACACCACAAGAGAGCAATTAATGGGGAGCTGTTACTAACCTTCATGCATTCCATTGCTCAAGTGTCTGGAGAAAAGGTCTAATTATAGTTCTAACCTTTCCCAATGGGCCATGAATAACTCTGCAAATATAGGATGTTGTATAAAAAAATGATGAAGATATAGAACTGACATATCATTGAATTCTCCTGTATGATGCAACCACAGTAAAACAACAAATCATGCTGGTAACTTGATTTTCACCAATTTCTCATTAAAGTAAAATATATTAAGCTTGATGAAAGAACGCACGATTGAGAAAAATGGTGCAGTCAAACATACAGAACTTCATATGGAAGATAAAACAGATACAGTGTCAGAATATTACATTCTATTTTAACTAAAACATGGTCATTTATAAAGCAAGTATTGTATTCAAAGGAAGAACCAGGACCAGTATGGAATGTGAGATTTAAAAGCCTATTAAGTAATATGATTAAAGGGACCACGGCTAGCAAAGAAGTTTCATTGCACAAAAGTTCAATAAGTAAAAACAGCAGAAAATACTTGGTTAAACACAGAAGAAAGTAAAAATGTAGCATCACTGTCTATTAGGCACATATTTCGAGATGATGGCACATTTGTTGTTTTTTCTAGATATTTCTTCCCATGTAGAAAGTGACATTCGTATTAGGAGACATTATTCATTTAAAAAATTCATTGAGTTCTTTGCATAAGCTGTAACTATATTAAGATAGACAACAAACATAACCTCTTCAGGAGTAATAATATATATATACGTATGTTAGCAATTGCTGGGACACAATACCTAATTTAAGGAAGACAGTTTAATTTGGTGCCAGGTTTTGAGGGATTCACCCTATTGTCGGTGGTTCCATGGAAAACACAGCATGGCAAAGGGTATGCCAGAAGGAAACAGATAGAAAACAGAAGACAAGGGAGGAGCTCGGGAGGGAGATTTACACTGCAGAGGCAAGGCCCCAGCGACACAGCCAGCCCCGGCTCCCCACTGCACATGTAGGTGTGAACTTCTTCATGAATAAATCCAGTGACGAGGGTCATCCTCCTCTATCCAACTGCTTTTCAAAACCTCCACTCTGAAAACATAACATTGTTGAGAGACATTCTAAGCACACACAGATTAAGATTAATACTTAATAGAATCTCAGTGCATGTTCAGTAAATCAAGTGACCCTGAGAGTTCAGAGGAGGCCAGGCATCACTGAAGAGGCCTCCTTATGCAGATGGGTAGACAGGTTTCTAGGAAACAGTTACAAAGGGCCTGTTCTCTGCTCATTCCTAGCATTTTTTAATGTAAAAGGGAAGAATTATTAATTCTTATTTCACTGAAAGACAATACTGTAGACCTTACAGTATCCTAAGAAGCCCGTTATCATCCCCCTGTCCTGTCCTCTCCCCCCCTCCGTCCCCTTCCCATCATCTCCTCGCTGCCACTTTTCTTTCTGTTCACTCTGCTCACCCATAATGGATAGCCCACAGATCCTGCCTCAAGACATTTGCACAGGATGTTACTCTGCCTGGACCGATCTTCATCAGACATGGCCATGGCTACGGCCCGCCCCTTCTAGGTACAGTACTCCATGCTCTTATTAAAGGTGCAACCAATTTGCTTCACACCTCTAACTTCACTCTCTAACTTCACTTGCCATAGCAGTATCTCCTGGCCTTGTGTGTATGCTTTAGTTTAATTATCTTAGAAATAATTTTCTCTCCTTTCCTGCTACAGTATAAGCTTCCCATGGATGTGTCTCAAATCTCTAGAATAATTTCTGGCATAAGATGGGTTTCCAGTAAATATTTATTGAATTGAATTTTTGAAAGAACAATTTTCAATAAAAAAAATTTTGAAGTTGATGATTAATATTTAGAAAAAGTGTCAATTTTTTTTCTCGTGTTCAATCTGGAATGAGGATGACTTACTTTTATTTATTTATTTTATTTTTTAGAACAATAAACACCTTTATTAGATGCACTAAGCCAGGAGGGAAGGTTTATTTGCCTTTCTGGACCTTGGTTTTCCACAGAGAGAACTCCGGCCCTTTGTCCTCCAGACAAAGCCGTCTGCTTGGTTGCACCGGCCTGGCCTTGACGCAATGCAGGTAAGAAGCTTGCCCTGCTGGAACGGCTCCTCCAGAAGACTGCTGAGTTTGGCATTCTTTTTCCTTTCATCATACTTCTTTTGGATTTTCTTTGATCATTTTTTCTTTAAAATCGTTTCCTCTTCAGGAGTCAGGCAGGAACAGTGCAGGGTGTGCGGTCAACAAGCACAGTGCAGTTCTTCAGGGGCTTGGTGTGGACCAGCTCATTATTAAATGTAGTGTAAGCCGCGTCAGTGGTCCTTGTTCTTCAAATACAAGACTCAGAGCCCCGGGAGAAGTTTCCCATATCCAGCCTCAGGGCTTGGTACTTCTTACTGTCTCCTTGAACTTGGACTGAGTGTATTTGGCGGAGGCCATCTGGGAAGCACAGGAACTTGGCTATCAAGTACCACGGGTCACATGCAGAGGGGAACCTGGGCGAGATGCAGGCAGTGGATCCTCCTAACTATAACAACTTCTTGAAATGGCTAGTGGCGCACAAATAGCTAGTGGCCACAACCACGCCTAGAGATACTTTCACCTAGAGATACTTTAAATTAGACCTTGAACACGTTTCATGTGAACCTGTATTTTTAACTGAAAAGCTTCGAGATAATTAAAGATATAATTACAACATTATGGAATAAGACTTACAAAAAATGAGTAAACATTTGCCAGTGTTTTCTTTGTTTAGCTTTAAATTCCTAAAGATACCATGCCTGATGATTTGGAAATAAGAGTGTTTTGAGAACAATTTGAAAAATGTGACAGCATAAACTGTTGCTGAATTCATTACCTTTTAAACTTAATGGACTTTTCAAAGTAAAAAGAGTAGTATTATATTGGCTTTCATCAATATAGCTTTAGATTTCATTCAATTTCATCATTTCTGGGGTAACTTTAATTTACAAACAGCTTAGCCAGATATAAACTTTACTTTTAACTACTTTTCATATATATATATATATATATATTTTTTTTGTTTGTTTGTTTGTTTGTTTGTTTGATAGAAGTCTGCTGTATTTTGCCCTAAAAGAAACCCACATAAGGAGTAATATAATTATCACACTCATGCATCTATTAAAACGTGGCATTATGGTCAAACATTAAGGAAACAAAATTTTTAATGTAAAATGCAGAGATTGAGCTGTTCTCTCAATATAAAAGGATAGTAGGGAGGGTGTGTTCTGTGTTTAAAACATTTCCTGAACACAGCAGTGGTCTTCTTTGTCTTCTCTGTTCAGTCTTGGATTGAAGGTCACATTGTCTGAAACTAGGATAGCTACTCTGCTTTCTTTCAGGTTCCTGGGTTTTTTTGGAATATAATTCTCCATATTTCTCTTTCATTCCATGAGTGCTTTGTGAATAAAGTGTCTATTCTAGACATATATCACTGAGTTTTACTTTTGGATTCAGTGTGCTAATCTCTGTCATTTGACTGTGCAATTAAGGCCATTCACATTTAGAGTTATTACAAAAAGATATTTACTAAGATATTTACTGTCATTATTGTTTCATTGCTTAGTTTCATATTTTTCCCCCTGTGCCTACTCTCCTAGTTAGATGGATTCTTTCCTCTCAATGTAATTTATAACGAAGTCAAATTTGACTGGGTGCTCTTCCTTCTATGAAGCAATATTCACTGGTGGCCCTTGTGGAAATTTGAGTTCCTGTCTTCTGTGATTGAGTCCAACAGACTGGATCAAAGTACTGGTGCTTAAACTGCTTTCTCTCCTACAATTTGGTTTCTCTTTTGCGAGTGAGTAAAGGAGGTTGGGTTTCTATACAAATCTCTGAGCATATTTTCTGTTCCTTCTTTAGGCAATTATCCAACTTATGAATGTGCCTCACCAGAGGTGTTCTGCCTTATCTCATGGAGAGATTCCTCTGTTAGGAGGAGTACTATGTCAAATGCCTCATCATCTGCTGATTTCCATAGGAGCCTTCTCCAGCTCTGCCCTTTCCTCTGTGGTAACCCCTAATTCTTCTTATGCATTTCCTTTCTATGCCACTCTAGTTAGCATGCTATGTAAGCACTTCTGGCATCACTGTTCTTCTCCATCTTTCCTGCCTGCATCAAATTCACTGTCCATACCACCCAAAGAATCTATATCCAACCTGAAAATTCAATGGTATTTAGACCTCATAGAGATGAGCAGATTTTAGCTGAGAGTGCTCCTGTGTAGACCCTGACTCTGCAACATTTGTAGGATAACCAATGGACAAGATACCCCATGGGTGCAGAGCTCATTGGTATCTGTGGGAGTGATGGGAGAAGGCTTACTCTAGCATTAAGTGTCTTTTCTCCCCAAGATTTTACCCATCTCTTGTAACGACTACTCATCCTTGCAACTTACTGACCCAAGATCTAATTCCATGTCCCTAACTGGGATCATATCTTGTTCCTTTAGTTCCCAATGGCCCTCCAGTCCTAACTCGGTCACTGATCCCTAATTCTCTGGCAGTTAGTTTCTTTAGTGTGTGAGGAGTCTTTAGTGTCTTTAGTGTCCTATTTTTATCTCACTCACTGGGCTCCTTCTCCCAATGAGAAGGGAATTAAGACAGCTGGACAATGGGTGGTAAGTGCCACATTGAAGTACAATCAGCTTGGAGACCTGAACCACAAAAGTTCAGATTTTTACAGTTCTGGAGGCTAAAATTAAGAGATCAAAGTGTCAGCAGCTATGGGTCCTTCTGCCAGCCTTCATGGAAGGACTGGTTTCAGGCCTGTGTCCCTGGTTTTAGATGGCCATTCTTCCATATGTCTTCACATCATCTTCCCTCTGTGTTATTATGTTCAAATACACTCTTCTCGTTAGGGCACTGAGCACACTTGACTTAATGACCATTCTTATGACTTCATTTAATTTAATAATCTCTGTAAAGACCTTACATCCACCATGGTTTCATCATGAGTTTCTGGAGGTTAGGACCTCAATACATTCTGTTGTGGATGATAAAATATAGCTTATAACAAGCAATCTGGTGAGATTGTGTAAAGATATGTTTCCTCTAAACTTCTTAGATCTTTGAGTCATTGCCCTTCATAAATTGAGAAGTTATTCTGCCCTGACTTTTGTGACTTTGGTTGCTTTTATATATTAGATAATCATATTCTTTTCAACGGCTTTTGAATGCTTTCTTCATAGTCATTTTTTATTTCTGTTTCAGTTTGTATAATTTTTATTGATGTATTTTAAAGTTTACCAATTTTTTCCTTTTCTGTGTTCAGTCTGTTGATAAGCCCATTGAAGGAATTCTTCATCTCTGACAGCACATTTTTCATTTCTAGCATTGGTACTTGACACTTAATTATACTTTGCATCTGTCTGCCAAAATTTCCTATCTTTTCATGCATATGTTTCTCCACCAAACATGTTAAAATATTAATCACAATTATTTTAAAGCCTCTGTCTGAGCATTCCAATATGTGAGCCATCTCGGGCTCTGGTTCTGTTCACTGCTTTATTTCTTGACAATGACTCATTTCTTTTTCTTTCTTTTCTACATGCCTCACAAGTTCTGACTGAATGCTGTACAAAAGGACACCACTGACTGAGGGAAACCAAATTTATATTCAGAATGTGTTTTTCTTCCATCGGATTGTTAAGTGTGTACGTGTGTGTTAGGGGTGGGAAGAGGATTGGAATCAAAGTAGTAGGTAGTGATGACAGGTTTGGGTTTTATTTTGCTCTGGTTACATTTAGTGCACCTTTGATGTTAATTTTTTTCCCCTGTGGACAGTAGCTGCCTTGGCGTTAGACTGAGCTAGAGTTGAGTTTGTTTTCTGTCTTTACAGTATTCTTTTGCTTTCTAAATTTACTAGGCTCGCCGCCCTCTGCATGCTCTCACTCTCCTCTATTTAGCATCTCAGAGGAAATCGTTTTTAATTGAAGAGGATCCTCAGCACAAATTACTTCCTTGCTCTTCTGCCAGCTGCAGGAGGACGATGCTCTCTACCTGTGCCAGGCTCCAGGCTTGAGTGGAGCTCCTCCATCTTCATGGGCAGACAGCTTTACCTTATTTCTTTAAAAGTAATAATGTTTTCAAGGAAGTTTCCTGAAGAGTTTCTTGCCTTTTCCTCAGTAGATTCCTGCTTCATATGAGAGAAAATTCTAGAACAGTGGAATCTCACACCTGTCCTTCAGTTACAGGTCGCCACTTGGTAAAGCTGCTTCTTATTCAGCCTCCCCATTCCACCTGCTCTCGATTTTGTCTAATGAGCATCCAATATTGGCCATGGAAGAGAGTGAGGGAGATACACACACACTAATATCTGGGGCCACCAGAGACAAGGATGAAGGCTGCTTTGGTGGCAGAACTGAGGGTTGAAGTGGAATCTCAGAAATTTATTGAATATCAAATAAAATTTGAAATCCCGACCATAATCTATGTAGCATAGTCTATGCCTTTTGTGTTTCACGTGTCAGCTGCCTCTCTGACCACTATCATGTCGTATTTTCCTTCTGTGTTTGCATTATCTTCAGTCCTTTCTTATCTTAGACTCTGTGTGCTTTTGCTTTTGCTCTGAAATACTAGGTCCAACTGCCTAACCAATTCCCTCTCACAGAGGGGTGTAAGATGCTGTAAGAACAGGAAGATGCTTGACATAAATTACAATACGTCATCTCAACTTTCACATCTCTGCTTATGCCAAGAGTCACTTTCTCACTATCTTTTCTCTGTAGCTGCATTATTCTCCACATCAGCATACTGTTTCTTCATGATACTTACCAAAATATATTTGTGTTTCATTTTCCCTGTTTGCTTTTTAACTTATGTATACTTTCTTTTCCAATAAACCATAATCTCCCTGAGGACAGAGAACAGATATATCTTATTGATTATTGATGAAAGTCTACTAGTACCACACCTAAAACAATGCTCAGAAACCCATACATTCAGAAAATCTTTTATGCAAAAGTATGTTACATGATGACCATGCATTATTATAGAATATGTAATAATTTGTATTGAGTACTTACAAGTAAATAATTGAGCTATCATATATTATGTACACATATTTAATAATTACCTTAAATATTTAGCTTAGCGTTATATGCATGGAGAAGAGACGTGTAGATCGAGATTTTATGATAAAATGTACTTTATAAAGTTAAGCCCACAGAATTTCAGTACAGCAGCACTGAAGTGACCTTCAATGGGTGTCTCCCATTTCTTAAAAATAGAAAATATTTATGTAAAGAAATCAGCAGGTGAATGTAATTTTCTGAGAAAAATATCTTAGATATAAATAAAGTCAGTTTGCAGTCTCCTAGTTCACAACAATCTGTTCTTTGGGAATTGTTCAAATTCATTTTGCAGAATCACGGGGCTCAGTTATTTTGAGTAAGTTTATGTACTTTTTAGTGGTTATTCAAACAGAATTGCCTTAGTTTTTTAGAGTCTAGTGCTCACTAAATGTTACATAGAGCTAGAAAGAAATGCATAGTAAAATTGCAGGTACTCACCAAATTATTAACATTTTATTTTGCTATGAGCAAGACAGTAGCATCAAGTATATTTATACAAGGTAGAACGATGTCTTA